TACACTTATATCAATCCTAAGCACTAAAAATGAAAAAAAAAAAGTTAAGATCTAAGACAGGCCTTGTCCCAGACACACTCAGACCACCCTCCAACTTGATAAGAACAAATCTTCCCACTGTCTGAGGTAAACACCTCAAGGCTGGGATGGGATGCAGACCTTTGAAGGCCTGTTTCTCAGCACCTTCCCCTCAGAACTCTGGGAAATGAAGAGCCAAGTGAATGCAGGAGAAGCCAGGAGCTTTGTGGGCAGGGGCACCTGGTAGCTTTGGAGGGCAGTGGTGACAGGAAGCCCTCAGAGACTTTGCCCTTCCTCCCTAGGTTTAGCTCAGGCACTCAGTGCAGACAACACAGCAATACTCCCAGACTGTCTTCCTGAGACCCTAACCCCACCTACGTGCAAAGGATGGGTTACAGGATTCTGTGGGTTTGTCATACATTGTCTCACCATTCATGAATCCAGTTAGTCAGTCAGCCAGTCAACAAATATTCGCTGGGTTCTGGCTAGGTGCCAGACTGTGTGGTAACAGACATGACACCTTTAGGCCACTGGAATGAGGTTAAGAGCACAGTCAGTTCCTTAGCTCCATCACTCACTTGTGTGACTGTAGGAAGTCGTGGAATCTTTGTGTCAGCTCAGATGGCAATAACACACCTGCCCAGCACTACACACCATGGATGAGATTTGATATTATTTTCTTGCCTTTGAATAACTCTAGTCTGACAGGCCTCCTATCCCACTGCCAGGGAGAGAGCTAAGCCCAGGTCACACTGGGAGACCAGTGGGGGAGGCTTCTGGCTTGCACTCTGCAAACATTTATGGAGGACCGCCCTGTGCCAGGCTCTGTGCTGGGTGCTGGGGACACAGATGAACAGGACACATTGTGTACTCATCCCTGCCACACTCCCAGAACTCAGTCCTAGAGGCTAGCACTGGTGGGGTGGGGTAGGGGGGCACATACCACCATGAACATAAACCCTGGGAGCCTGGAACTCAGAGGGACCTAAGTCTTCATCTGCCATTCACCGTCTGAGGGGCACGACACAGTCCACTGTCCTTTTCACCTTCAGCATGAGAAGTTGAACAAGAGGGGCCCTTTGGCTTTGACCACTCAGCCAGTCAACAAATATTCGCTGGGTTCTGGCTAGGTGCCAGACTGTGTGGTAACAGACATGACACCTTTAGGCCACTGGAATGAGGTTAAGAGCACAGTCAGTTCCTTAGCTCCATCACTCACTTGTGTGACTGTAGGAAGTCGTGGAATCTTTGTGTCAGCCTAGATGGCAATAACACACCTGCCCAGCACTACACACCATGGATGAGATTTGATATTATTTTCTTGCCTTTGAATAACTCTAGTCTGACAGCCCCTTCCCAAGGGCTCTAACTCTACCCATGTCCAAAGCCAAGGCCATCTGGGCCTGATGTCTCCCTGAGACGGTGAAGACACTCTCCGGGTACAGCCTGGTACTGCCCTGTTGACGTACTGGCACAATTTCATGAAACAGGGGCCTAGATCTGAAGGCGGGTTGTTTGGAGGGGGGGTGAGTGTGGGGAGAGGCAGTGCCAGCTCCCACAGGCCCTATTCATGACAGAGTCCGGGTGGCAGAGCAGGATAGTTAAGACCAGGCTTTGTCTAAATCCCTGACCAAGCCAATACCTCACCTTTGATCCCCTGCAACCAGCAGAGCAGGGCTGATGCGCCACTAGAAGGAGAATGCCAATGGGCTGCCATAGGCCTGGAGCGCCAGGGGCAGCCTGGGGAGGGAGGGAGGCTGAAGACCCGCCAACAAACACTGAGGGACACCTGAGGCTGTGACACCCTGATGACCAACAAAGACAAGCAATCAAGCTCTAATCCAGCAGTTGGAGGATTCAGTGTGGACTCTACTAAATGGACACAGATTCAAGTCTTCCATGATTCTAGCACCCAGTGGCTTGGCTCTTTCCTCCCTGACTCTGTTCTCTCTCTCTCTCTCTCTCTCTCTCTCTCTCTCTCTCTCTCTCTCTCTCTCTCTATGTATACAGTGTTGTGCCTGCATGCCAGAAGGCACCAGATCCCATTATAGATAGTTGTGAACCACCAAGTGGTTGCTGGGATTGAACTCGGGACCTCAGGAAGAATAGCAAGTGCTTTTAACCTCTGAGCCATCTCTCCAGCTACCAACTCTGTTCTTTATGAACAATGCAGCCTTGGCCACACTTTTATTTCACTGTGCCTCAGTGTCCTCAACTGTAAGATGGACAATGACAGGTAGTACTGACCTTGAGGTGGTAATGTGACAATTCAAAGAATAAGTTGTACAAATCCTGACCCAGAGGAACTGCTACCAAATCTTAGCTATCACTGAGGAGGCTGACATAGCAAGAGACTCTGGCTCAAAAAATCTCTAGCACTAATTTATATGCTCATTTGAATATATTTGCATGCTCTCTGGATCTTTTTAGATATCTGCATTGGAATCCAGCATCACAGCAGTCCACCTACTGGAGGATATATCCCTGTACCATGCATGCACCAGGATGCTCTGAGGTACTGCATCTAACAAACCTGTCCCTGGAAGTTCTTCTGAATAGCTAGCCCCAATCTCTCACCCCAACACTTAGTCCAGTCATCTGCTCTGTAGTCTATCTTTTATATTATTATTATTATTATTATTATTATTATTATTTTGTGTGTATATGGTTTTTTGAGACAGGGTTTCTCTGTGTAACAGTCCTGGTTGTCCTGGCATCTGCATTGTATACCAGGCAGGCCTCAAACTCCCAGCGATCCATCTGCCTCTGCCCTCTGAGTGCCACCACCGCCCAGCCTATCATTATTATTATAGACAGTGTCTCTTTATGTAGCTCTGGCTATCCTGGAATTCCCTATGTAGACCAAGCTAGTCTTGAACTCAGAGACCTGCCTGCCTCTGCCTCTGCTGAGATTAAAGACACCACCACACCCAGCCATAGTCTGCCTTTTAATTTTACACAGGTTTCAAAGTATCCTCCCCATGAGGGGTGAAGCAACCCACTGCCCACTCGCACCCTGCCCTGCTCTCAAATCCCACACCCTCCCTCACTCCCACTCCCAGCTATGCCAACATCACTGCACCCTTTTGTCATGAGCTCAGGGTCGCCCTAAGAGAGGACACAGAAGGCCTTATCCACACTACCCACACAAAAGGGTTGTTTCCCAGGTCTAGTTCCTGAGCTTCAGCTGGGAACCACACATCCTGCCCCATCCCAGCAATACACAAGCTTTCTTCCTAATAACCACCCCCCCAAAAAAAAAACCTTTATTTCATGACCTAACCACCACTAGACCTCAGGTTCCAACCCAACATTGCCACCATACCTTTAGGTCAGACCCTATCTGTAAAATAGGCACTAACATTGCCAGGCAGTGGTGCTGCACACCTCTACTCCCAGCCCTGGGGAGGTAGAGGCAGGTGGATGAATCTGAGTTCAAGACCAACCTCATCTACAGAGTGAGTTCCAGAACAGCCAGGGCTACAGAGGAAAACCCTGTCTGGAAAAAACAAACAAACAAACAAACAAACAAACAAAAAACAACCAACTAAATAAATAAATACATACATACATATATACATAAAAACAGGCACTAACATTTTTACTACACACAGGGGACTTTGAGATCCTGGAATCTAGTATTTTGTGGAGGGGACCCAGGGCTCATAATTTGAAAGGAAAAGATAGCACCTGGGACACAGGGCCTTGGAGTTCCCAGCCATCTGGGGGTGGATCCAACCACATATGTGCAATGGGAGAAAGCCACCAGGGCTGGGGGCCTTTGGGCCAAGTTTGCAGGCCAAATGACTACTTCTGTAGTAGAGATTCAAATCTCTTGCTGTCAGCGCTGGCCACTTTGGAAAATGAGGCTGTTGCCTTGGCAAAGGGGAGAACCGTATGGGATCAAAGGCCACCACCCACCAGTAGCCCACAGGGGGCTAGGAGTGGAGACAGTAAGGGGTCAGGGATAAGTGTGTGCTGTTTGTGGGGGGAGAATCGTAAGGACTCAAGCCTAATGACCTCCACTCCCACCCCCTGTCCATCCTGAATTTCAAGTTTATAATTAGGAAACACACTGGCTGCAGGGAGGGGTAGAGAAGCCGACTGAGGGAGAACTTAACACATCCAGTTCAGAGACCACAGTCTCCTAAAGAGTTTGCAAAGTACATGCCCGCGGGACCAACACCCCGCGGACAGGAGCCCGCTGGGGTGTCAAAAGATGGAGAAGCTCAGTTCTGGCCTTGACCCTCAAACTGGACCCCAGGGAATGTCTTTTCCAAATTCAGGAAAACTACTGGTCAGGCAGTGTTCAGCCCTTCAGCTTGCCCTGCCAACCGTGAGCTGGGGAGTGACTGAGTTGAAGCCAGACTCCAAGGCAGGGGACTGACCCTGTTGGGAAGGTAAAGGCCCCTCCCCAGCCTCAGCAGCTGGCAGATGAAAGAACCCAAGCAGAGCAGCCCAGCGCTGAGTAATGCCCCTGGCACCCCGCTCCCGGACCCACCCACAGCCCCAGAGGGCAGAGGAGAGGGCCGGGCAGGGCTGGGGTCCCGGTCCCGAGCCCCGCAGTCCACAACGCAGTCCCACCCGGAGGGCGAGCCGATGATGTCCCGCCCCAGAGCCCCTCCCCCACTCCCTGTGGCTCCAGCTGTGCGGGGGCCTCGCCAACGGAAAACGAAAACTCGGGCAGAGGAAACGGCGGCGGGCGCCCCGCCTGAAAATCCCGGACAAAAGGCGCGGGCCTCCCACCCCCGCTGCCGCGGGCCTGGCACCAACACCGACTGGGTGGCCCCGGCCCGGTAGCCCCTGGGCTGTCGGGGACCCCTGCGCGGCGGCCACCTCCAGCCCCTGCCTAGCGCAGCTGTCCCTCCTGCCACTCCCCTGCAGGACACCAAGCTCCCGCAGAGGTGCCCACCGACGGGGGCACAGTGACCCCAGCTCGGACGTGGCCCCTGGTCCCGCCCCAGACTGGCCCGAGCTCTCACCTGGGGGGGCCGGGGCTCCGGACGCGGCGGGATCCCGACCAGGCAGAAGGCGACTCCATTCATCGGGCCGCAGTGGAGGCTCTGCGGCCAGGGCACTGTAGGGGGCACGGGCCGGGGGGCAGGGGGCGGGGCCCAAAGGGGGCGGGCTCTACGTAGCTCCGCCTACCTGCTCCCACCCCGCCCCACAGGCCACGCTCCACACCCGGCGCAGTCGGTAGCCTTTCCACACGCTGCGCACAAAAGTAAAGGGACCCGAGACAGAGATCTACGCGGACCGTGAAGCCAAGGGTCAGAAACGAACCTGGCCCAGAGACAAGGTCTCAGGGAAACTTCTGGAGAGAGGGCCTACAGGGGACCTGCCCAGACAGATGTTGAACGGTGAGCACGGAAAGAGGAAGAACCCAGTAACAGCACAAGGAAAGGCAGCTAGAAAGGGACAGAAACGGACCCAGAGATCCAGAAAGCCTGTGAGTGGCGGAGACAGGATGAAGCGACCTCATCGCATACAGGGAAAGATTGGACAAGGCTTGGGGCGGAGGCTCTAGGTAGGGACTGGCGGAAGTTGAGGCACAACAGACGTGGTGTGAGGTATGCCCCCCTTCCATCTAGAAGAGACCCCTCCCAGGAAGAGGGGTTACCACGAGGGCAGCAGAGTCAGGGCTGGAAGGGAGTTCTGACAGACGCCCCAGACTTTTGGTGCCCATTGCAGTGAAGGCTGTGCCTCAGACCTCAGGTCTCGCAGAGGCCCCAGAAGAGACACTCCCACCCTGCTCCACTGGGAGCTAGCCTAAAGAGACACTCCTGGCCTGAGCCAGCTACTCTTTCCCCAATCCTCCAACAGAGCCTCACCCTGTTTCCCCAGCTCACAGGCCCCCACACAGTCCAGTGAGAACCAGTACCTCAGTCCTTCATTGTGAGGGGAGGTTCTTTTGCTATTAACTCTCACTCTTCCTCTTCCTCCAGCCTATGCTGACATCTTCCTGAGCCTTCTTACAAGATTTTTTTATTTTGTTTGTTTGTGGGTCTTTCTCTTTCTTCTTTTGTCGAATACGTAGTCCTACCTGTCCTGGAACTTGCTCTGTAGACCAGGCTGGCCTCCACCTCACAGAAATTCACTGCCTCTGCCTCCCAAGTGCTGGGATTAAAAGGGTATGACAGCACGCCTGGCCCTGTTTTGGGTTTTCTTTGGTATGACTTGGTTTGATGATTTTGAGACAGGGTACTGCAGAGTGGCATTGACCCTTACTCCTGCCTCAGTTTCCTGAGTACTGGAATAAAAGTCAAGAGACATCACACCTGGCTCCTTCTTGCCACTTTAAAGTCTTCTGTACTCCTTTCCCCAGATCATGAGGTGGGGAAAAAGCAGATATCCCCAAGAAACAGGGGAGGCAGGCAAAGCAGAAAGAATAACTGTCCTCCAAAGACACCAATCCCTGAGCCAGGAGACCTCATCAGGAGGCTTGCTTCACCACCACCACTATCAGGACTGACCCAAGTCTCCAAGCCCACCCCTTGCTACTTGTTCAGGCTCTCAGGAATGCGGGCTGTGGGAAGGGAGGCATCAGTCAGTCCGTCCCTCCTCCTGAAAGCCTGAAGGCCACTGATAGGCTCACACTTTGGGCTTTAAGTCCGGGCGCTCACAAGGATTCTCTTCTAATGACCTCTCTAAGTTCTTTCACCCCATCAAGGTCAGAAGCCAGAATTACCCCCTCCTCCTAAAAAAGTCCCTGCTACCGTCTAATTGTCATCCGTCACAATGCCTGGATCGTCTCAGTTTCACAGAGTACCAGTTCCTCCCGCCCCTTCTGCCTGCTGCCCCAGTGTTCCAAGGCATATCGCCCCCCTGGCACAAGGGTCCTTTCCTCCCAGAACAAAGGGTTGTCTCTGTAAAAAAGAGCAGATTTGAGCTGAGGCTGTGGGGGCAGGGAGGAGGGTGGTGGCCCCTGGGGTGCCCCTGGCTCACTTTTTCCAGAGCCTGATGCCCTCAGACCCTACAGGAGGCAGTAAGAGGAAATGAGCTCACGCTGACCGGCAGGCCAATTCCTCCCTCCACAATGCACAGCACGAACCCCCTCCACCCCTCCCACTTCCCAGAAAGTGCACTCTCCCCCACCCTGCGGCCCCTCCCACCTCTTCCTGCACCTTGACCTGCACCCCCTCCCGCCAGTCATTCCTATCCATCTCCTCAGGCCTTCTTCCACTAATCACCCCTCCCTGTCTGTCCCGGCTCCCCATCCTCCATCTCTGCTTTGCTACATATCCCGCCTTTCTTCCTCACAGGCTCTTACTATGGGGTTTGGGGTAAGCACACTCTCACTTGAGGGGATTATGGTCCTTAGGGGGGATCCCCTTCATACTCATTGCTGAACCCCTCCACCAGTCCAGTCATGGCTGTTGACCCAGAATTATACCCCATGAAGCATGGGTCCTGCAAGGGTGTGACAGGTGGCCCTGGGGATCTAGGGATCAGGCCCTGCTCCTTCCCTTCAGTGGCTTGACCTTCCTAAATCATGACTCTATGGTGAGACCCCAAAGCAGCCATGGAAGGCTGAAGAAACAGGAGGATGGCCTCCAGGAGCTGCCCCTGGTTCTGCGGGGCTTCGTGGTTGAGCAGACCTGGATGAGGGGAATGGAGAGAGAGGCTAGCTGGGGAGAAGGTTCCCCATGGACAAAGGCAGGGACGGCTCCGGTGGTGTGTGAGCAGGAAGTGTGATGGATGAGGAAGGAAACAGGAGGATGTGAGAGACTCGGCTCAGACACTTAGGTTTTGGTCTGGCCTGCCAGTAACTTGAGGTAGTGGTGTGTACTGGAACACAGTAAGGACAGGAACCAAGGACGGTAAGAAAGGAGGTTAGGATGCAGGGTGAGCAACAAATATCAGAGGCTTTGGAACTTGGTAACCTGCTAGGTAAAGGGGAAGGAGATGGAAGAATCTAGAACAATTTCAAGACTTAGTCTACGAGACAGTTTATGTAGGATGGCCCCCGGACAGTGAAGAGATCAGGCAATGAATCTCGAGTTAATGCTTTAGTTAACATTATGAAGGCCTTGCCAAGCATAGTATTTATTATTTTGTTTAATGGGTAGGAAATCTAGGGTGGTTTTTGTGTTGTGCATGTGTATACTGTGTTCATGTGCAATTGTGTGTATACATGCGTGTGTGTGTGTGTGTGTGTGTGTGTGTGTGTGTGTGTGTGTGTACACATATATTCAGAACTGAGGCTGACATTGAACATCTTGCTCTACTCCCCACCTTGTTTCCTGAGACAGGGTCTCTCACTGAACCCAGAACTCTGGGATCCTCCTGTCTCTGCCTCCCTAACACTTGGATTACAGATGTGAGCTGCTTCCAGCTGCACCTAGTTCCATGGGCACTAGGGATCTGAACTCAGGTCTCCACACTTGCATGGCAAGCACTAACCAAGTCACCTCACCAGACTCCTTTTACTTTGCCTTTGTTTTTTATTTTTAGACTGGTCCTCAGCCTATAAGCATAGTCTAGCCTGGAGCTTACTAAGTAGCTGAGGTTGCCCTTGAACTTTTGATCCACTTATTTCAGATTCTCAAATATAATCTCAAGATTATAGGCATTCAGGACCATCTATGTACCTTATGCAAATACAACAGGATTTGAACCCAGATATTTGGGCTCCAGAGTCCACATACTTTTTTTTTGCTTTTGCTTTTCAAGGCAGGGTTTCTCTGTGTAGGCCTGGCTGTCCTGGAGCTCGATCTGTAGACAAGGTTGGCCTCAAACTCACAGAGATCCACCTGCCTCTGCCTCCAGAGTGCTGGGATTAAAGGCATGCGCCACCACCCAGCTAGAGCGCTCACTCTATAATTATAGAGGACCAGTTTCAGTTCCCAGTACCCATACAGTGGCTCACAACCACCTACAACTATAACTCAAGGGGATCCAATGCACTTTTCTGATCTCCACAGAAACCGGACACACTTGTAGAGCACAGACATACATGCAGGCAAAATACCCATGTGCATAAAATAAATATATCTTTAGAACACTGTGTTGTTTTTAATATAGGGCAAGCAAAATGGTGCAGCGGGTTAAGACACTTGCCTCCAAGGCTAATGCCTGAGTTCAGTCCCCAGAATTCTCATGGTGAAAAGCAAGAACAAACTTGTCTTTTGACTTCCACATGTGCACAGTTGCAGGTATGAACACATGTGTGCACAAATACACACACAAAAATCAATCAATCACTAAATGTTTTGTGAAAAACCAACAACATTTGAAGGCTGGAGAGATGGCTTAGTGACTAAGAGCATTGGCTACTTTTCCAGAAGATTCAGGTTCAGTTCCCAGCATCCACATGGTGGGTCACACCATCTGTAACTCCAGCTCCTGGGGATCAAAAGGCCTCTTCTGGCCTCCACTGGCACCAGGCACACACATGGAACACAGATAGACGTGCATTTCATTTCACATAAAATATAATTAAAAAATAAACCATGCTTTTGAAAACATGTGCCTGGGAGAGACTGAGGACACACAGGAGCAAGTTGAGAGGATGGATGAGAAGCATCCCCAGGAGGACAACACATGACTGGCCATGGAATACTCAGTGTTGGGCCTGGTCCTGAGTTGACAAGGAGTTTCAGAGTGTCATCCAAGGAACTCTGAGATGAGATGCCAAGTCCCATTCACCAGGCAGCTGTCTGACTTTGAAGACAAGTACATTCTCTGAATTTCCATCCCACCCTCAAAAATGAGTCAGTGAGGCCTTCTCTCTCTCATGTGGCTGTGAGTGAGAGAGGTTTGCAGGCTCGCACATTTAACAACAGACTTGAAGCACCCTGGAGCTGTAAGGAGACCACTCCACTCATGATACAGTTTCACTTCCATTTTAAGCATCCTAAATTTCTTGGTGTGGTGGTATACATCTTCAATCCCAGCACTGGGGAGGCAGAACCTGAGGATCTCTGTGAGTTCTGAGCCATCCTGGTCTATACTGCTTGTTCGAGGCCATCCTGCAGAGCACCTGGACTTAGTCAAACAGTGCAGAGTCCAGATTGTTTCCCCCTAGATTAAGGAGCTGGCTGCAAATTGTAACCCAGTACCACAGGGGATAGGGTCACATATCATCACCCCAGGAAAAGGTCAGACAGAGGGCTGAGTGCAAGT